AATATGGAGTATGAGAGAAACCTTGTCGACGTGCCTCCTGTCTGGCTTCACGTAAAGTGAGACCATTTTTGTATCTGAGAGTTGCTACCTCAGATTCAAACTTGTAAGTGGGACAGCCTCTATAAAATACATTATGGGGCACGCAGCAGTTAGCACATGTTCGTGTTTGTGCTGAGCAGCTTGATCGATTATGACCAGGTTGGGCACATATGGGGCATCGATCTGTGGAACGGCAAAGTTTGGCAGGATGTCCAAAGCGCCAACAGTTTTGACATTGACGGGGAGGGGGTTGGTATGGTCGAACAGAGAGGGATTTTCCACCAATGTAGATACGTAAGGGAAGGTCATGTGTACGGAAGGTAATTTTGGCAATATTGGTCGGATTCTTTCGTTGACCTTTAGGAGGAATGGTGTAGCAATGTACTGATTTCACATCTTGGTCTTTGAGGCATCCTAATAAGTCTTCTCCACAGTCTGACCAATCTTTGGTATCGACTGGGCAGTTTGCTGGGGAGAGAGAGACAGTTCCGGTACAGGTATGAAGGGTTGGGTGAGGTTCTGCAGGAATGGGGTTGCCAGAATGATCAGTTAAATTTGAGTGCTATAGATTCAGTTTCTGATCTGACTGTTACCAGGCGGGAGCGATCGCGTCTGGTATAAAAAAAGGGACTCTGCCTACTTGTTTTTGGAGGCATTGTTGAAAGAGAAGAGTGTTGCCTGAGTAAGGAGCTGTAGCAGGGATCACGAAAAATCGGTCCCATTTAGCTGGGCTACACAGAGTATTTAAGATATCTGTAGGGTTGGTGGTGGTGGATGGTCGGGGACGTGTGGAAGAGGAAGTATTACGGAAGGTTGCAAGGTAGTAATAAGGGAGGATTGGTTGTTTGATGAAAGTTGCAGGGGTGGAGTTGAATTTGAGGAAGTTGGGTGGGTAGGAATGTCTTCTGGAGATTGATTCTCTGCTTGGGTGGATAATGCACTAGTAGGCATTGAGGAGTGGGCAGTAGTTTCAGTGTTCAGAGCCGTGGTCAAAGGAGAGCCTGGGTTGGGGCTATTTGATAAAGGGGCTAGCCTCATAGCCTCTAATAAAGGGATTACATTTTCATTACTGGTCATGGGGAACCTGGATTATGTAAATAGGCCTAATCGGTCCACCTCCTTTCGCTACTGAAGGTAAGGGCTAGATTAGTCAGGAGTACCATGCCCATAATTCCCGCAGGCCGTTCAGGACTGGCACTAGGTCAGCCTTTCATCCTCTCAGCACGGCTCTCACACCTTAGGAAGTAGATAGCAGAAGGGGATGGAGAAGAGACAGAAACAAAAACTGGAGAGGAAAAAGACCATGCAAGATTTGTTGAGTCGAGGGCTGAGGCCCTAGGCAGGGGAGATCCCTGTCTTGGGTCTCAGTCTTCATCTCCTAAGCCCCCCCACGACAACAACGGGCAAAGGATTGGGGGGGGCCCTGGGCTAAGCGGAGACCGCTGTGGTGGATTGTATCAAGGTGAGCAAGAAGGGAGGTTGAGGCAGAGGAGTAGATGTGGCATCCATAATCTAGAGTGAAGAGGATCAAGGGAACATGTATATGGAGGAGAGTTTTGCGATGTGAGCCCCAGGATACGTGGGAAAGAGTTTGTAAAATTCGGAAGCGGCGTTAAGCTTTTCCTTTGATGTACAAGATATGGTCTCGCCAGGACAATTCGGAGTCAAATATAACGCCTAGGAATTTGCCAGAAGAACGGTATTGGAGTGGAGCTTTATATAAGAAAAGTGGAGGTTTGGGGCCTATACATGATCAAGAGAAAAGGACGGAGAAAGATTTGGAGGTAGAGAAGCGAAAGCTATGGTTAGTGGCCCAAGAAGGTACTGATGTTATTGCAGACTAAAGGATGTGCCAGATGCATAGATGGTTAAGTCATCAACATATTGTGATGCCCGGGCTGCTGGTGGTAGGACTGAGACAATGTCATTTACAGCAAGAAGGAATAAAGTGGTACGCCTTCGAACTGAGGAAAGGATGACGACGTGGAAGTGGCAATTTTGACTTGGAATGTACGTTTAGAAAGGAAAGATTTTATGAAGACACCCATGTTTCCACCTATACCTAGGGAGGATAATTGTTGGAGGATGTGGTACCGCCATGTGGTATCATGTTTTTTATTTAGATCAAAGAATATGGCTAATACGGATTCATGGCGTACAAATGCAGATGCAATATATGTCTCGAAATGGGCAAGTGGGTCTGCTGTACTTTGGGCACGGCAGAAACCAAACTGGGAAGGGGAAAGGAGATCATGGGATTCAAGATACCACATTAAGCGGAAGTTAACCATTCGTTCTAGTAGTTTGCACAAGCAGCTAGTTAGAGCAATGGGGCGGTAAAATTGGGGTAGGGTACCTGGCTTACAGAAAAGAAGATGGGAGGTGTCGGAGCATACGATAATGAATACCATCAAGGCCTTCATGAGTGTTGTGGCACAACTGTAATGCAGTGTTGAGTTCAGAAGAGAAAAAGGGAGCATTATAGGACTCATCAGAGGATAGGGTGAAGGTGATAGGGGTGCGTTCCTTAATGGTTTTAATGGGAGAAAAGTGTGGGGAAAGGTGAGAGCCACTACTGACCTGGCTGAAATAGAGAGGTCAAGACATGAAAAGGATTGCGTGCGCATGTCAAAGTGTGTGGGGCGATCTGAATTAAGAATAATTAGGTTATTTGTGGAGAGGAAGCGTTCTAGAGATCGGCCTCGGGAGTTGGTGGTAGAGTCACCCACCCAGTGGCGGCAGTTGAAATCACCAACTACGAGGAAAGATGGTTGGAGTTGGGAAATTAGAGTTTCAAAGGCAACAAAGTCAATGGGATGGGAGAAGGAGACTGAAATCACTGTGATCCAGCGGCGAAGAAAGATGCGAACAACTGTGCATGGGACAGTAGTTTGTATGGGAGGTATGACATTAAGGTGTTTTACTATGGATAAGTATAGACGAGACATAAAGGGAGTGTGGGGAAGAGATAAAATGGTAATTGGGAATTGGAACAGGAGGGTGTGTGAGGAAAGTCTCCTGGAGGCAGATGATAGATGGTTTATAAGAAGCAAGGATATGACGTAGGTCTGGTCTATGAGAGCGGAAACCGCGAATATTCCAATGTAAGAGAGCTATATCTCAGTTATATTATGAGTGAAAGCGTCAGTACGTGTTGTGCAATCTGTGGGGGAGGAGCTAGGGGGTGCAAAGGAGGGGTATCAGGAAGTAGGGAATCTGGGGAAGGGCATTGTTGTGACATGAGTGATTCCCGTGTGTATCCGGGATGGAGTGGAAAGGATAGAGGGGATGGAAGGAGGGAGAATGTGCCTATAGTTGGGGTTGAAGGGGGTGGGTTGTGTTGGGAGGGAGTAGGAGGATGTGGTGTGGGGGGAGTATTAGTGGTATGAGGATGGATATCGGAAGGATGGATAGTTGGAGTTGAAGGGGATGTGTTGTCTTGGGAGGGATTAGGAGGAAGGGGTGCACGGGTGCTGTGAGTAAGAGGGGGATGGATATTGGGAGGATGGATATCGGTTGTGGACAGAATTGAAGGGGTTAGGTTGTGTTGAGAGGGAGTAGGAGGAATATTAGCAGAAGGGGTATGAATATCGGCATTCACTTCAAGTGTGGAAGGAGCATGAGTTATGGGATCTTGTGTCTGAAGCATATAGCTTTGAATGTCATCCAGTTTCTACAGTGGAGCTGGTTGGAGAGTTTTGTGGGACAAAGGTTTTCTTATGAGGGGGGGGGGGGGGAGAGGAGATTGGTATCAGGAATAAAGGTAAAGGTAGGAGGAGGTGATTGTGATGTAGGGGAAGAAGGGTTAGAACGTTTAGTCTGTCTACTGCGGGTAGTGCGGGGAGGGAGAGGGGATGGTGTTGGGGCTGTAGTTGAGATTGGAGCTATGGTTGAGATTGGGGTGTCTGGATTTAGAGAGGCAAAAGAATTGGTCTGAGGGGGGTAGAATGTAGAAGTGGAAATGGGGACATCTTGGGGTGGAGGGGAGGGGCTGAGCGAACGATGTTACTAGAGTATGAGAGAAAACTTGTCGACGTGCTCCCTGTCTGGCTTCACGTAAAGTGAGACCATTTTGTATCTGAGAGTTGCTACCACAGATTCAAACTTGTAAGTGGGACAGCCTCTATAAAATACATTATGGGGGACGCTGCAGTTAGCACATGTACATGTTTGTGCTGAGCACAGTTTGATCGGTTATGACCAGGTTGGGCACATATGGGGCATTGGTCTGTGGAATGGCAATGTTTGGCAGGATGTCCAAAGCGCCAACAGTTTTGAGGCGCTTGGTATGGTCGAACAGGGAGGGATTGTCCACCAATGTAGATATGTGAATGCATTTGAAAAGTTAAGCATTCCAATTACATAACTGAACAAGAATGGTGATCTCTGAAAACACTGCTGAGGGTAACAATGCTTTAGAGGATATCCATTTAATTTCTCACCATTTTACTTTGTTATGCCATAATACATTTTTTTTTACCAAAAGTGTGCTTTATTTTTAATCATTAATCAATAGCAACTGCCTTACAATTGAGACCAGAGGTCAGCACAATTAAAAGTGTGCATCCCTGGAAAAAAAAAAAAAAAAAAAAAAAAAAAAAAAAAAAAAAAATCTAATGGAGAAAATCTAGTTTTAAGCATATTATATAATACAATCTTTATAGTTTTAAAACTCTTGGTACAATTTCCCATAACATTAAGCTGTGCCTGTCTTATAAGTGAAAATAAAAGGGCCAGAATTTGAACCCAAAGAACTAAATTTCAATTTCCATCTCTAAAGTGGAGTATATCTAAATATTTAATGACTGATCATAGTCAGTACATACTAGATTATCTACAAAAAAAAGTTTTAAAATATCCCTCTACAAAAATTAAATGTCACAAAGTATCCTCTGATTAAAGAAATTGCCAGCATACGAATAAGGCAATTAAATATGGAGGTTTCAATGCAAAACATTGCATAATCATTTTGTTTAATTACACTTTACAAGCTTGTACTCAAACAACTTGCTTTCCAAACATTTACTCTGGTTCACACAAACTTTAAATAGGAGCTCAAACAGTTTGGACATTTTCAAATATCAAAATCTGAAAGTAAAGACACAACCTTGCTTCTGTACAAAAGCACTTGGTTACTGCATAATTAATCATTTAATTAAAGTATCAAGGAAGATGCAAAATATACACTTTTAATATCTTTAAAATAAAACAAGGTACACTACTGTATAAATGCAAATTAAAACATTTAAATTACAACGATAAACATATTTTTATATAAGATTCACTATATAAACATGGGAATAATATTTTAGTTCTCTTTATGAGTTTGGCATTGAACACCTTATCTTTCTAAAGATGAGAAGATATCCAAAATAATATAACTGATGAACCTAATTATTTAGAAGTATTGCCACAATAATAACAAATGAAATCCTTTCTGCACCTAAATCCATCCAAGCATAAACACCAGCATTGAACATAACCAAACATCTTTGGTTTACAATGAAGAAAAATTTTAATTTCTTATAAGCATAACAAAAGGCACTGCTGGGTCTGCTGGACCATCTCAAAATGCGATGCTAAGATCTGACTGATAAGTGATACCACCCATGGTTTTGTTTTACATTGGGCATACTAACCCATGTACTGTTCAGCAAGGCCATAGAGCTCTGCATTCCGTATGTTGGGAAAATGCAAGCACAAATAATCTGCATACCAATAAAAGCTATCAAGACAGATGAAAATCACATCTGTGTGGAAATTTTGGATAGCTCTACACAAGTAACTATTTATAACTGATGAATAAGCAAAGCATTTGATTCTAAGCTAATATCAATTACTTTGAGAATATCTCCCTAAACTTTATGCCATATGCTAAGGTTGCTCTGGTGGGAAGTCACCACCTCCAGCTTCTGTTGCATGGCCATTCTGTGGCAATGTGTCCTGGGTTGGCTGAGAATCTTGCTGTAGATCTAGTGAAGGGGTTGCAGAGAGCCTATCCCCTAGCACTCCCTGTATACGCTTGGAAAGGCCACCCATGAGTGGGCGCTTCACATCTGGTCCACTAAGATCTGCCTCATCTAAGTGTCGCTTTCCTCCAACACCCTTCATCTTCAGCATTGTGTTTATGACTCTTAAGTCCTGAAATAAAATGTATAGTTTTATTTCAGCAAAACTTTATATGTGTACACTTTTGTAAAGTCTTTTTATTTTTTTTTTTTTTTATTTTTATTTTTTCTCCATTTAGTTTTTAAGTCCTCTTAAAAAATATATTGACTTTCATTTGATATGCTCAAAAAATTCACTGCTGGTAATAAAAAATGAATAACACAACTGTACTCCCTACCTTGGCTGGACTCCGATTAAAGTAATAAGGAAGAGGTTTTCGAGGTGACATTGCTGTACTGCCTTGCATAGGACTCAAGGAATTGATATATACAGAGTGATTGTTTGAAATTCTACGACGAGGTGAAATTGGAGTGTGACGTACTACTGGCAATGGAGATAGAGGAGGGAGGTCACCCTGAAAGAGAAGATATGAAAGTGAAAAATTAAACATAGTAATAAATTATGAAAGTATTGAAGATTCAAGCATTCTACTGGATGTTTCTGATAAATAGTCAAAGGCACTGGTAAAAAAGGGGTGAAATATTGATAGAAATATATATTGGCTTTCAGCCAAATCCTAAATATTCCCATCTATTAGCACCATTTTGAATTAGGAGAGGGTTTAAAGTAGAATCGATCTTTTGATAATGTCAAACAATGGGGCTTTCATAATGAATATGTATATACTAAAACATATATACATATACATATATATATATAATATATATATATATATATATTTATATATATACACACATATATATTATACACATA